TGCTGTTTGTCGCTTGTTTGTATTTACCGCGTGCGTTTAGAAATTACCCCGTCTAACTGTGTTTTGTTGTTGCTTGTTTCTGTGTGCACGTTATCCGTCCGTTATTCGTACATTGTTCTTAGTTTATCGTTGTTTACGAGGCTTGGACGAAGCGGACAGGTAAGAAGGTCACGTGACATACATTTCGCAACACTCAGGACTGCTCTGCTGTCTAGTACACTAGGTTAGGGGCGAGCGCCACTCCTTGTACTTTTTGAATAGATAGATAGAGTAGATATAGTTAGGACTCGGAAGATCTTCGTGTGTTAATTATACTGTTTTTCATATAGTTAGTTAGCTAGATGCTTCTGGGAAGTTAGATTTAGTTTGGGTTTTGTTCTTTTCATTTCTTTAGCGCCGCCCGCGTCCCTTCTGCCAGCTCTCTTGTTTTTCCCGTCTTTATTTGTTTCAGTGTTGTACATATTGTAAATAGTATATTTTTGCTTTACTTACTTTTTCTTTATTTTTGATTAATTCGTTGTTGTTGTTCACTTTGGGATTGTAAATAAAAGCACACATTTTTTGGCATTACTGTGGTTGTCTTTCCACTCATTCACTATTTATATAAATATATTTTAATTAAATAAATGTCAAACCCCACACCCTAGACTAACATCAGGGGTTTGTAACAGCAACATTCCACAATTTAATAATAATAATTCCTTACTTTTAAATAGAACTTTTCTGGACACACAAAGTGCTTCACACATTTTTGGGGAAAATCTTTTCATCCAATTTTAATTTAAAGTTTAATTTAATTATGTTCCAGAGAATTGTAAAAACTCTTCAAAGAAGCAGCTCCAACAAGCAGAAGCTGTGGACTGTGAGCTACAACCTGTAAATAGGTTTAATTAGTTCAAATTGATCTATGACATGCACAATTTCTAGCATTAACGATATGTTGTAGCGAGGACATAAACAACAGGAAATGCTGTTTGGCACCGCTGACAATTTAGCTACAAATTCATATTTATTGATCATACCGCTGTAAAAAGCCACAATCTTCTGTAGCGTGTGCAGTGCTTCTCTCTGCAGTCGCTTTCCCTGCATTCTACATCTTAAATGACAAACTTACAAAAAACCTGTAAACATTTCAAATTACTTACACATGCTTATTCCGAATATATGTGAAAGATATGTAACGCGCTGAGTTAGGTAAAAAAAATACAACTTGTGTTGCAGCAGAAAAATCAAAACTCACATGGGTCGCATTCCACATCCTGCGATTTATTCTCCTGTCAACAGTGTCACTATATATTACAGAAAATAACTTCATTTGAGCATCAAAACATGAATAAAAATTAACATCGCTCCCATACACATGTGGTTCTCGTATCAAATGCATCTACAGACTATTCACACACACACATAGATAAAACGGCCATTGTCTTAAAGGAGCCACACCTTATTTTCACTTGTTACAGACACTTGACAGCTTTTATTTTTCGAGAGTAGGCATGAGGTTCAGCCTTTTCATTTTCTGTCTGATTAAGGCTCAAACAGATACTGCTAACAGCTATTCTGATTGACGCTGTTTACACAGCTGAGGTAAAGCACATGCTTGTGGAGGCTTGTTGCTTTACTGGTGACATGTAGCCGATCCACGAATCAAAGCACATTGTGTTAGCTGACCAATCAGAGCCTCTTGAGGGAGGGCCTTTCAGAGGAACTAGGAAACGTTTTCATGTTAGCAGAGTAGCTGTATATAATAAAAGTAAGATATATGTAAAATAACATGATTTTCTACAAATGAAACATGAGCACACATTTGCTTTGCATCTTATAAACACAACTCAGCCTTAATGTTACACTCTGGACCACCCCTTTAAACAATCTAAGGGCAATAGGGTATATGCGGAAGCATGCTAAAGGACTTTTAATTTGTCAGTAACCTGGCTTAAGCGCTTCCAGTGAACTGCATGCCATGACAAAATCGGCAAGTATAAGGTCTGTTTTCTTTAAAATTAATCTCCACTGGCTAAGTAATATCTCATGGTTTCCGCTACATTCATTCTTCGGTGGCAGGGCGCCACATCAAAATTCATCCCGCTACGGCTACATTACAGCATCTCATTTAAAACATTCGGTCGTTTTTTTAAGTAGCGAGTTATAATTGCACCAAAAATGTATGAAAAGTTAAGTGAATTATAACAGCGTGAACTTCTTTGTAACCATAGTAGTGCTGTGCGTTCTTTGTTTAACCCTTTGAGGTTACGTGCTGACTCACAGGTGCGTGAGGCCATCAAACACAACGTAGTTTTCAGTCATGATGTACGGCGTTTCCATAATTATAATTTATTCATAGATAAAGGTCTGTGGTTTTGCATACAATGACTTTAACTTGCTGGAATTTATAGCCAGTTTACTTCAGGACGCATTAATGACGCTCTGAAAGTCTATTAGAGACATACATAAATATTCCTAGCAAATCGAATAAATGTTGGATACATACTCGTTACATAAACACACTAAATCACACTACAGCAGCGTTTATTTGAGGGCGCGCAAGAAAATCTGCACTTCAGCAGCATATATATTTGAGGGCGCACAAGAAAATCTACACTTCAGCAGCATTTATTTGAGGGCGCGCAAGAAAATCTGCACATCAGCAGCATATATTTGAGGGCGTGCAAGAAAATCTGCACTTCAGCAGCGTTTATTTGAGGGCGCGCAAGAAAATCTGCACATCAGCAGCATATATCTGAGGGCGCGCAAGAAAATCTACACTTCAGCAGCATATATTTGAGGGCACGCAAGAAAATCTGCACTTCAGCAGCATATATATTTGAGGGCGCGCAAGAAAATCTACACTTCAGCAGCATTTATTTGAGAGTGCGCAAGAAAATCTGCACATCAGCAGCATTTATTTGAGGGCGCGCAAGAAAATCTACACTTCAGCAGCATTTATTTGAGAGTGCGCAAGAAAATCTGCACATCAGCAGCATATATTTGAGGGCGTGCAAGAAAATCTGCACTTCAGCAGCATATATATTTGAGGGCGCGCAAAAAAATCTACACTTGAGTAGCGTATATTTGAGGGCGCAAGAAGTTGTGCATGAACAGAGGAAATCGGCGCTCGAGCAGAGATTGACAAGCTCGTAGGATATTACATAAAAGCAATCTCGACATAATACTGTGCCCACGACATTTGTCAATGAAATAACGCCACATGTAGTGGTAGATCTGTGTAAAATGCCCAACAGAGTCTGCCGCCACAGCTGAAAAAAATCCTAGAGGAAACACTGCATCTGATATAAAGTGGGTCTCAGATTGTACAAGAAGCACTGCATTCAATTTAAATTTTCCCTGCCATGTCTTTAAAATACGAACATTTATTTTACCCCAGCATATTTAATGGAGCTTCTGCAGTAGCCTGCCAATTCTGACGGGCACGTGCGATTAAATGGCTTTTTGTCTTGTTTTACGCTTGAGCAACTAAATGAATGCCAAAGTCTGTTTGACTGATTTTATTTTAACTACATTACAACATTGATGCTGTAAAAGAAGCGTATAAAAAGGAAAAAAGTCCCATTAACTGTTCACCAGAAGTTAATCAGTATGGGAAGAAACATTAGCTCATCATATACCCTATTTCATCCAGTTAACCACCTTCGTCTGCAAAGCTGCCAGCCATGTAATCAAAAAGCGTCACAGCAGAGCATTAAAGTTGACCAGTTGGTAGTGGGTGTAAAACCTAGTACATATTACAAATACATGTTTGATAGCTGAGATTTCTTTTTATTTCTATATCTACCTTCCAAAGCATAAAATTAGGCACCAAATTTCTTGAGCACAAACTCCAAACCCCCATGTATTTTTTCTTTTATTTCTGATTGTTTACTTGCCGAACAGATTTATAAGGCAGCTTTTGACTCAAGTAAATTATGCTCTAAGGGGCAACGATCGATGAGGATTGTTTCCAGACTCTTTAAACCAACTGGATTTCTGTCTCTCCACGGAGCGCGGTCGTGGGTCTGTGCGAGGTGATTGGCATCTCACTCATTCCTGGCGAAAAAAACAGCTGCCTGCTGTTCGAGCTAGTTAAGAGCCCAGAGCACGACAGCGCGTGACACAGGACAGGCATGAATACTCAATGCTTACAAAGCCATTTCTACAGGTATGCCCAAAAATTTGCTTTCCAAAAGGCAAAGAAATGCTGGAGGAATAAGAAAAAATACTGATTTTAGATAACTTATTCTTATATGACGATGATGCTCATCTATCATCAATATAAAAAGGATAGATCACCCTTAAAAATTTCAATGAACAACTTTTTAGTCACCCTCAAGATGTTCCAAACCTTATTCTTATCTGAAGATTATGCCCCCCATCAATCATAGATATAAAAGGGATAGTTCACCTCAAAATATGGAATGAATAACTATTTAGTCACCCTCGAGATGTTCCAAACCTTTATGATTTCCCTTCATCTGTTGAAAATAAAAGAAGATATTTTGAAGAAACTGAAAACCATTGATCTCCACAGTGGGAACAATGAATACAATGAAAAAAAAGAATCTTTTGTGTTCAACAGAAGACCCACAAAGATCTGAAACGAGGATGATTTTTTGTGATCTATCCCTTTAAAGCTGCCTTTACATCAATTCTAGAATAGTCAGTCACTGTTTGAAGCAGCAGACAGTAATAAAACCAAGCAAGCACTGAAATGGTGTTAGACGAGTTTATTATTTGTCATCCATAGTGGATCATAATTTTAAACGCTTCACTGGAGAGCGGAAATCCAATTCTTAAGAGCCTTACATGATTGGATGGAGGAAATTAGACAAATAAAAACATTTAATTGACTACTACAATAGAAATAGAAGTGGATGAGGAGGAAAAAAAGGGATATATGACTAGCAAAACGGCTACATGCAGGCATTTCGATATTATATAAAAATACATATCACAAATGGTGTATAAATGGTTAATGCATCTGTGGAAAATACACCCAAGGTTACCTTCAGAGGGGTTGACGGCTGCCGGTAGGCTCTCCCAATCAACAGTGCGTAAAGGGCAAGGGTAAGCAGAGTAAATAGCATCTATCCCGTTTTCCTGCAGGCCAAAAAAAGCATATAAACACAGGTTAAAGCATAGCGTACTGACATAAACCCTCAGGCGGTGGCTTTTTACTGAAGCTGACCACTTCTTGCACTTCCCTAGAACACCTGAGACAGGGTGCTAATTAAATCAGGAGCCCGTTGCGGAGCAGTTCATCGCACTTTAGAAACTGTTTAAAAGGTCGAAGTCCTATAATTGATTCTACATTTTTGTAGGTGGTGCTTAATCATTAAAAAGTCCAACATAAACGTGTAAAAAGTGTGCTATCACAGTTATTTCTCATAGAGGATATAAGATGCAAAACCAAGCTATGGTGTAAAATACTGTTGTGTTAAGGGATTTTATAAGGTACTTGTTTTTTAGTTGGGCGAGATGAGGTTAGTCACCCATTTAGAATCAAATTAACCTGCTTGCAATCAAACAGACTCAAGTGGAACGGGGTGAGGACGGAATGAAATTGGTGTTAAAGCCTCTAGGAAAGGCTTTTTTTGTTAAACAAAATGTACAAACAAGCAGAACAAAAAAGAATAGTTAAAGAATTAAAGGTTTAAAAAGGATCTAAAAGATAAAAAGTCACAGATCACACATCTCCTGCACTATTACCAACCTAAAAAAACTAACTTTTATGTAATTATTCATTTATTTATTTTCTTTTCGGCTTAAGTCCATTTATTAATTTGGGGTCGCCACAGTGGAATGAACCATTAACTTATCCAGCAGATGTTTTACGCAGCAGATGCCCTTCCAGCTGCAACCCATCACTGGGGAACATCACACTCATTCACACACATACACGACGGCTAATTTAGTTTATTCAATTCACCTGTACCACATGTGTTTGGACTGTGGGGGAAACCGGAGCACCCGGAGGAAACCCACGCCAACACAGGGAGAACATGCAACATTCTCCACACAGAAACGCCAACTGACCCAGCCGGGGCTTGAACCAGCGACCTTCTTGCTGTAAGGCGACAGCGCTACTTGCCTACCCTTTTAAATTAATAAACAGGATCACTTGAACCACCAAGACACTCAGTAAGAGTAAACTTTAATAAATGGACAAGGCAATGCGTTCCGTGTGCTCTCCAGAGCAATCTTTGATGAGCGATGGACAATTCAGCACTTCAGTGCATTTGATTTAAGTGCATTTGTGCATATGGAAAAGGAACAAAAATTTGTAACCTCACATACAGAAATCCATCTTATAGATATGAAATCCACCAGGAAAACCACTCGCCTCATTAAGCTGCATGCTAATGCAAGGCATTTCTTTTTGCAGGAGCCTTTCGACCGGGGATGAGGTAAATAATTTGCAACACTAGAAAAACATCAGTGTAAGTTTATCGATTACATTTGTTTTTGTGCTTTTACAGTTATTTTTCCAATCCACTGGTCACAACTCAAAGGTGAACTCAGAAATACGTTGCCTCCATCAGGCATTCAAGATTATACAGAATTATTAGCCCCCTGTATATTTTTCCCCAAATTCTGTTTAACATAAAGAAGAGTTTTTCAACACATTTCTGAACCTACTAATTAACTAATCTCTAATAAATGATTTATTTGATCTTTGCCATGATGACAGTCAATAATATCTCACTAGATAATTTTAGCATTCAGTTTAAAGTGATGTTTAAGGCTTAACTAGGCTTTTTAGGCAGGTTAGGGTAATTAGTAGGGCCAGACGGAATCTGCGGATGTTTTTTGCTATTTCTGCAGAGAATTTTGGTAAAAATCTGAGGATTTCTGTGGAATTATTTTGGGAGTACCCAGCGGAGTATCAAAACTAAAACCTTAATATATGAAACAAAAAGTAAAAAATTACTGAATAAAAACTGAATAAATTTAGATTTACACATTCACTCAAGTAAATAAACAGAATTAATGATGGGCTAAAAATCTGTGGAATTCTGCGGAAAATCGGCGAAAAATCAGCGGAATTCTGCGCATGCAGATTCCGTGTGGGCCTAGTAATTAGGCAAGTCATTGTATAACAGTGGTTTGTTCTGTAGACTATTGAAAAAATATATTGCTTAAGGGGGCTAATAATATTGACCTTAAATGTTTTTATTCTAGCCGAATTAAAACAAATAAGACATTCTCTAAAAGAAACAATTTTAGAGGAAATAAGGTCTTTGCACATCGAAGTCAGAAATTTTTTCATGCATTTTTTATAATTTTAAACAAACCTTGCACACAGAGTCCCATGTAGACGAATTAATCCAATATGAAAAACATAAAACATATCAGGGTCCATTCAAGCAGCGAATCTTTGCTCTCCTCTCTTCTCCACAGTAGGAAAAGAAAGAGGAAAAGGCTATACATACATACATAGAGTTCATCCAATACTGCATTGAGGAAGGAGAGTTTAACTCATTCTCCCAAATGCAAAGTTTATTTCAGGGAATCAGAGGAATTTTGATACATTGCTTGTGAAACTTCACACATTCAAGTACATAAACAAATCTTGCACAGAGACTGGCAGCACCTATAGACTTTATATTAGATGCCTCCATGTGCAGATTCTTTAGTTTTCCAGCATATGTTGAATATTTGATTTCTTTCCAGCAGTGTCTGATTTTGAGATCCATATTTCATACTGAGGACAATTAAAAGATCCAAACACAATACTATTAAAAATGGTTTAAACACTCACAAGCTATGTTTACATCCAAAGATGATAATTAAATATATGTTTAAAACAAGCATATCGCATGAAAGACATGCAAATAAAGAAATATTTCCATCCAACGAGTCAAAGAGAATAAAATGGTCACACAGTATGTCTGATAATATTTTTCTTCTGCAAAAAGTCTTATTTGTTTTATTTCGCCTAGAATAAAAGCAGTTTTTAATATTTTTTAGAAATTTTAAGGCCAAAATTATTAGCCCCTTTAAGCTATTTTTTTTTCCAGATAGTCTACAGAACAAAACATCGTTATACAATAACTTGCCTAATAACCCTAACCTGCCTAGTTAACCTAATTAACCTAGTTAAGCCTTTAAGGGTGCTTTCACATCTGTAGTTCGCTTCATTTCATCCGGACCAAGGGCAATAAATGATACATTGTTGCATCTTCTGCCGTCTTTGGGTTGTTTTCACACCACACTGCTGGCTTTGATCCGAACCACTTGAAACGAACCAAAATCTTTGTCATCTGACAAAATCCACATCTCTCATTGGCCAGATGTTGTTGAACATATTTCCTAAACTGCTTATTGATTGGTCAGAATTCACGTGCGGTAAAATGCCAGTGAACTCCCGCAGGTAAACAAAACCTTTTACTCTGGAGGGATGTCTGCGCTGGCTGATTGTATCCCTGCTTTAGACAAACTGTACATTACGAAAATAAAGCGCAGCCGCGGCTGGAAAACGTGAATTAATTTAGCTAAACTGCGACATGGTCATCTTGCGGAAATATTACCAAAGATCCATCAGGTAATGTTTTCCCCCTCTTTCTCTCTGTTGTTCATAGATATATACACTAGATGTCGCCTGGCCTATTGTTGTCTATAGGACGGAATGCGTCAATAGCGCCGCCATCTTGCTACAGGGTAGCGCTCCTTTGAAATGAATGCGGGACCAAGGTACAGTGGAGGACTGTGGCCATCCAAAGCCAGAGATATACACATATACACATATATCTGTGATCGGGAGTTTTCCTGGATGTTAGTGTGTAATTTTTTTTTCTAATTACGAAAATTATAATTTTACATCACTTTTCTACATTGATGGATCAGTGACCGCACGGGCATTCCTGACAAAAAGCTTGTGTTTGTGTGTACAGAAATGTACTATTCACCCTCCCTGTTAAATTTGATCTAATCCGTGTCCTGAAACACCCCCCCTCACCTGCTTTCACTTCTCATACTGACGGAGGGAGCGATTCGTTTGTAAATGAATCCCCCGAACGACTCTTTCACTAACGTTAGCCGACAATAATACAAGTTTCTGGCAGCGCAGCATCTCGTTGTCATATTTCTTTTGCATTGTTTGCTGATTTTATTCAACAAAACTAGCATAAGCCGAGTGTTTAGTGCGAGTTGGAGCTACTTTGCCGTATGGTGAATGCAGTAAGTGACTGTCATCATCAATAACGTTACCTGATTAGCACAAAAGTTCAGAACATTCAAAAACAGAAAAAAATTTAATATTACCTATGAAATGTTCTGCCTTTGTGCTTTGTTTTCTTTGTTTGCTCGTTACTACACCCGTAGACAGCGCTAAAGTCCCGCATCTTTACGTAATAACACTGTCTTGACTAGTGCAGCTGAATGACATTTGTCCTGGGAGCACTGTACCAATGTGGCGGCGCTATTGACGCATGCTGAGGGTCCCTATGCGATATCTAGTGTATATATCTATGTCTGTTGGTAAAGCGCTGTCAACAAAAAATTTTCCTCCATATCCCATAATGCACAGCGCATTGGCCTACGGCAGCTGAATTAGTCCAAAACGCGCAGTACTTTTTGCGGTTGGACCTCTTTTAGTACGGATCATATTCTCACCACAAACGAACCGCTCCAGGGTTCGTTTGAAAGCGTACCGAGACCACCTCTTCAAGCGGGTCTCGGTACGCTTATTTGGTCCGCTTTTGGTGCGCACTCGAGTACGATTGCTGCATTCTCACCTGCCCAAACGAACCGTACCAAAAGAGAAAACGAACTCTAGTGTGATTCAATCGAACTAAATAAGGCAGGTGTGAAAGTCACTTTAAGCTGTATAGAAGTGTCTTGAAAAATACTTAGTCAAATATTATTTACTGTCATCAGGGCAAAGATAAAATAAATCAGTTATTAGAAATGAGTTTATACAACTATTATGTTTAGAAATGTGTTAAATTCTTCTCTCCGTTAAACAGAAATTGGGGGACAAAATAAACAGGGGGGCTAACTACTCTGGAGGGCTAATAATTCTGACCTCAACTGTATATAAAACGTATGTAGATTTATGAAAATAACCTATAGCAGTAGCCAAATCAGACAGCAGAACA